CCACGCGTCCCCACCACCTCAATCCCCCTCCTTCCCCCCACATCCCCGTTCCCCCATCCCCACGCGTCCCCACCACCTCAATCCTCCTCCTGCCCCCCACATCCCCGTTCTGCTGTTGATCTAATTCATCCAGCTGCTCTTGAGCGAGAAGAGTCCCTGGCTTTGTTCTAATTCATCAGCTGCAGCAAAATTATTACATCACACATGGACAGGGGTGAACCCCCCCTCAGGGAGGCTAATCTGTCAGCCCCTTCCTGTTGTCCTGCAGCCCCATCCCACCATGGCCAGAGCCCCCAACCCCTGAGAGCTCCTCCACCACTTGACCTGAGTCCTGGGCTGACCAACAACCGGAACTGGCCTAAGCCACCCAGGGCAACACCGGCACCTAGCTGGCCTAGGGTCCGGAGCGCTGGCTGGGCTGAGCAGCACCCTTATTTCATGGAAGATGGGGAGGGAGGTGGGGACTTGGGGCAGAACATGGTCAGGGCCACAGCCTGGGGTAGGGGAGGGTGAGCCTGCCTTGTTGTTATTCCTCTCTGCAGCCAGACAAATCTGCCCCCCTCCCCATGCTGGTAACTCCCTCTCCAGGCAGTGGGGGATAGGGGATGCCTGCCAGAAGGGATTGCTTCTTCTGCAGCTGAGGCCTTTTCCCCACTGACCCATAGAAGGCAGAAAAGCTGACCAGTTGGCAGCTTGGGATCTGTCCTCTGAGCTGGGGAAGGCTGGGAAGGGAAGCTTTCCAGGTGGCCCTGAGATTGTCTCCCCCTTTAGTCAAGACCCTGGGAATTTGAGAGGCTAATTTCTACCTTATTCCTTGAAAGCAAGAAAGGAAAGTCAGCATTCCCCTCCCCTCCCGAGTGCATGCCCAGCCTCGCCCAGCAGCTCTCTCTCCTCCCGTGGGCGCCCTGCAGAGAGGAACGAGTTACAGAGGGTAGAAAACTGCAGACAGCCGGTGAAGAACCGCGGGGCCCAGTCACTGGGACAAATGTCCCAGGAGCAGGAAATGCAGGGCGTTGGGGTGCGTGGAGACCAGCTGGATCACGAGCTCTGTGTGGCTCTGGTGATGGGGGTCGGTTTGGCTTTAGGGTGGTGAGTCCAGTTGATTTCCCTGATTTCCTCCTCTGCTCTGCCCTGACATCCTCTCAGCCAGCTGGAGAGCCTCTTCCTTTCTCATCCTTGCTCTTGGGGGGTCATTTGCAGCTCTTTGGAATTCAGAACAGCTCTCCCCCCTACCCTCCTCCCCCACACTTGTAGGAAAATTTCTGTCTCTCTCTGGCACTGGTGTGGCGAGTGCACCGTTCTCTGCCTCAGCCGTCTGGCTTTCAACAGCAAACCTTCCAGTTTCCCAGTTGTCCCCCCCACATCTCTCATCCTCTCCTGACTCTATCTCACACCCTCCTGCGGCTCAGGCAGCAAATTCCTGCCCCTTTCCAGTCTCTGCCTGTGGGCCTTTGAATCTAGCACTTCCCCCTCCCTGTCTGTGCCGACAGAGATTGATCACGGTCATTGCTCAGCCCACACCACCATCACATGCCCGTGCTACAATGCAATTCAAAAAGGGCTATTCTGACAAAGGGCCATTTGGCTGGCAATTTCCTCCCTCCCTCCCTGCTGCATCCTGCCAACGGGCACATCAAAGCAGATGACCCCACAGCCTTCAGGAACAGAGGGAAACCAACGGGCATGGAGAGGAAAGAATAGAAAGGAAGGGCCGCCGAGACCCAAGTGGGACATCAAAGCTAATGAAGTCGGAGCGGGCCTGCGTCACCTCCCACAGCGATGAGAAGCTCAGAGAACCTGGAAGAGACATAACCCGGCTCTTGCAGTGACAGATTTCTTAGCGTGGTGCTCTGTGAGTGCACAGGGAGCAGGGGCAGAAGAGGTGAGTGAGGAGAGACAGCCCTTGCCTCTAAGCCCATACGCCCCAAAGCCCTGGCACACATACCCTGCTTCCCAGCTCCACAAGCCCCCACCACTCAGCCCCACTTCCTCCCCACAACCTACTGGCCTGGTCCCTTAGCACATGGTGCCCCACAACCCAGCAGCCTGGGGGATTTGAGGAGGGGAGGAGACACCAGCCCTCAGGGACCTGCCCCCTGCAGGGAACAGAACCAGCTATTGAGGAACCCGGCCCAGGGGCTGGTGGAAGATGGGGGAGGAGACGGTATCTACAGTGAAGGGGCCTGGCCCAAGTGTCCTTCTCCTCAGCAACATGGCAGCGGATCCCTGCTGGGAAGGGAAGGAAGAGGGGGAAATTCAGCCAGGCAGAAGGAGCATCTGGAGACGTTTCCCCGCCCTGTCTCTGCAAGACGGGATGCTCTGGAGCAAAACGTGGACACGATTCCTCAGCCTGCCAGGGCAAAGGGGGCGAGGGGGGGACTTCAGAAGGGGCCTGCATCCATGTCACCCACCCAGGGTCTCTCCCTGCAGATGGATGCTCTGGGCTCTGCCATGCTGGGAACCCTCAGTCCATTTATTATAATGTAACCCCAGCCCCTCCCCCAGCCAGAACCCCGGGACACTTTTAGCCCCCAGGGACTCAGTCTCAGAGACAAAGGCTGGACAAGAGCAGAACCAAAGCAGCCACTTTGGGGGATTCCCTCTGACACGGGCCCCGAGGGCAGCGCGTCTCCCCAGCAGCGCGGGGCTCAGCCGGGGCAGGACCTGCCTGTTCCTAGGTCAGCTCCTCCCCTGGCTCCCAGGAGTGTCAGTCTGTCCAGGGGGGGTGCAGGGAAGGGATGGGAGCAGGACTGGGACCCTCCCTCCCCCTCCCTGCTCCTGCCGCCCCTTTCGCTCTCCCCACGCCCCTTCTGTCTCCTCTCTCTCTCCTGGGCCTGGCAGCGCTGGGGACTGGCCTGTTCCCAGGGGCCTTTGCTCTCCAGGGGCAGCCTGGCTGTGCCCCTGAGGGCAGCTGCTCTAGGACCCTCCAGTGCAAACTCCCCAGCAGGGCCCTGAAACCCACTCCCCTTCCAGAGCTGAGAGACAGCCCAGGAGTCCTGCCAGGGTCTCTCTCTCCCCAGAGTTAGTGACTAAGTAAGAATGGACATTAACATTGTAAGGCTAACTCGTGTCCCTTAAGTCAGTGTTTCTCAACCTTTTTTTTATAAAGTACCCCTTTAAAAAAAGGAAGCACACCCCTTTTTAAAAAAATTCATAAGTACCCCCAGTACCTACAGTTTCAGACATACACAATTTTTTTCGACTATTGCAACACATTTGTTTAAACTACTTAATCGTAGCTGGGCAGGCAATGAAATTTTTGGGTGTAGAAAGTACAAAAAATAATAAAGCGCTGTAAAACTCAAAGAACATAACATAAGAACATAAGAACGGCCGTACTGGGTCAGACCAAAGGTCTTTCTAGCCCAGTAAGAGAGGGTTGACCGAAGACAATGATCAAGCGATTTGTCTCCTGCCATCCCTCTCCAGCCTCTGACAAACAGAGGCCAAGGACACCATTTTATCCCCTGGCTAATAGCCTTTTATGGACCTAACCTCCATGAATTTATCCAGCTTCTCTTTAAACTCTATTATAGTCCTAGCCTTCACCGCCTCCTCTGGCAAGGAGTTCCACAGGTTGACAACATGCTGTGTGAAGAAGAACTTCCTTTTATTAGTTTTAAACCTGCTACCCATTAATTTCATTACTTTCAACTTAAAACAACAATTCAGTTTTCTCCAAATATCAGTTGTGTTGACGTGCGCCCCGGACTTCTCTCAAGTACCCCAAGGGTGCTGGTACCACTGGTTGAGAAACACTGCCAGTGACTTGTGACAAGATGTTAGTATTAGAGCTGAGTGGGTTGAATATTTATTTAATGTTCTTGTATATAGGAATTAGATACAGTGCTCCCGCCAACCACTAACTTGCCACCCTGGTGGGGGAGGCAGGGGGATCCTTGGGGGGGGGCAGAGGGATTCTGGGGGGGGGA